GGAGGGGACCCAAGTTTGAAGCTTTGCAAACAAACCCGAATTTGACCGTTTCTTTAAGTCTGAATCCACCACGGCCAGCATTTTATAATGCCTGGTGGTTGAGGATTGTGAGCCCTTTTTATGCCCCAGGGTAGGGGTATGTTTGTATTTAACCACAGTCTGCATTTGATTATGAGTTTTAACATGAACTATTGCTGAACAGTTTTGTTATTTGTGATAAGCGACACTGGGCTGTGATACATCTGTTAACCAAAACTTTCTTGGCATTTTTTTCCTCTGATCTTCTGTTTGTTTTTCAGTCTTTCTAGAGTGGCTGGGTTGACATACCACAGAAATGGTCATTTGTTTTGGTCAAGGAAAAAGAATTACAGAACTTATATAAATATACTGTGAATGGCCAAAATAGTGGTGCTTGGAAGGCTGGTGATAGTTCAGAAAAATCCCAGATTTTGTTCTAAAGAAATAGTTGGGTTTTAATGTTTTGTTGTTGTTTTATCGTTTTTGGTACTCGGGATTGAAGTGGGGGGGCACTCAACCACTGAGCCACATCCCCAGCCCTTTTTTGTATTTTACTTAGAGACAAGATCTCAGTGAACTGCTTAGCTCCTCAATAAGTTTCTGAGGCTGGCTTTGATACTCCTGCCTCAGTCCCAGCTGCTGGGATTACAAGCATGCCCCATGGAGGAAGGCTTAATATAATTTATGTTTATGGTGCTGGGGCTTGAACCCAGGGCCCTGCTCATGTTAAACGAGCATCTGTCACTGAGCTCTTGTGACTTTTTTTTTTTTTAAGAAAACATGGTTTAGTATAAAGTTTATCTCCTAACAATTTTATAATATTCTGAGTAGTACCTTTTTTACTCATTTGTAATGTTTCTGGAACACCTGTATGTACCCCTGAATACTTTAGTACAGAGACATCTTGGAAGCAAGGCATTGAAATTGATGAAGTGTGTGTCAAATAAGGGGTTAGACTAGCCCAAAATGTCAGTGACTTGGGCAGAAAAATGAGTGAGTTGACTGGTAGAAAGATGACTTGTAGTTTGCTTTCTTTGGCAAATAGGTATTTTCTGAAAAAATTTGCAGAGGTCAGCAAGTTTGGAGATGATTATGACTTATATTTTGGATGTATTGAGTCCAAATACCCATAGGACGTGAAGTAGAGCTGTGGTAGCAGCTAGGTGTGTATTAGTTGATCTGAATCTCAGAAGAACACTCTGCCTAGAGTTAGACTGGGTAGATGATAATCAGAAGCAAATGGTTTAAGTCACCAGGTATGAGACAGTCTGTTGATAATAGGGTGGTGTCATAGCCCTGGTTCCAGAATACCCGCTAGCATCCCTTTCTGATGCTTTATGTGCAAATTTTTATATCCCCAAATTTTATTTATCCTTCAGAGCCAGCACTAATGTTCGATCCTGTTTTCTTAGTCAAAAAATAATACCTTCCTTACTCAAAGAATTGTATTTTTTTAAAGGTGTTTTAGTATCTTCTGCATTACACCATGATATGGTAGACATGATCTCTTTCAAAAAATGTTCAGTGTCTTCATCATTGTTCATCCCCTCAGTATCATGTGCAGTTTTGCACAAAATAGGCATTCATTCCAATGAAAGAATCTTCAACAATATGCAGTTTTTAAAAATTTCCTTCTATTTTAACCAGTGGTTAATAGTTTTAGATAAGTAGCGTTTTAAACACGATTTTAAATAATGTTTTTGTATATATTATGTATTTCCTGTTTGGGGTGTGGTATGGAACTACTCTGAGCTACATTCTCCAACCCTTTTTTATTTTTTATTTTGAGACAGAGTCTTACCAAGTTGCCCAGGTGGAGTCCAACTTGTGATTCTCCTGCCTTATCCTCTGGAGTAGCTGAGATTATAGGTGTACACTACTGTGCCCAGCCAAATTTTTCTTCTTCTTTTTAAAGACAGTCTGGACTAAATAGAACTCATTTTTTTTCAGAGTGATTTACGGGCCATCATTATGAACATTGTTTATATCACATCACGTTAAGGGTTGGCCAGTCGATTGTATATTTAAACTTACGTTATCTGACAACAGGTAACAGGCACCAAAATATAGTTAAGTCTATAGCAGTTTGTAACAAGGTATTGTGTATTTTATGAAGAATAAGAAGAGAGAAGTTCAATGGCCCCAAACGCAAAGCAATGATGAAATGAAAATAGTAATAATTATAATTAGATCATTACACATTGTATGTACATATTGAATTATCACAGTACACCTTGGAAATAAGTACAATTATGAAAAGAAAAATTAAAAATTAAGCTTAAAATTGCTGGGCGCATGCCTGTAATCCTAGCAGCTTGGAAGGCTGAGGCAAGAGGATGGCGAGTTCAAAGCCAGCCTTGGCAAAAGCGAAGTAAAAAATTTCTGTGATGTTGTATCTTTTATGTCATTTACTTCTCAAAATTAATTTTCTATCTAGAAAAAAGTCTCATTGTGGAAGGCAAGAGGGAAAAGAAAAAAGTAGAGAGGCTGACAATGCAAGTGTCTTCCTTACAAAGAGAGCCATTTACAATTGCACAAGGTGAGTTTATTATTTTTTTCATTTTATGGTGAAAATGCCCAAATATGCAAAAATATGGTTAGCCTTGCTTGTTATTAGCAGGGTATTTAGCCTTAAGTAAATAGTAATATATTCTTGACTTAATTTTATTTGCCTCATTAAAGCAAAGTTATATGTAAATTATGCTGTAAAATAATTGTCAATAAAACAATTTTATAAATATATTAACTAAGGGGTATTTATGTGTTTTTTGTTGGTTTGTTTGTTTTATTTTGTTTTAAGGAAAGGGGCAGAAACTTTGTGAAATTGAAAGGATACATTTCTTTCTGAGCAAGAAAAAAACGGATGAACTTAGAAATCTACACAAACTGCTTTACAACAGACCAGGCACTGTAAGACCTTTTTAAAAATAACCTTTAATCTGTTTTCTCTTTTGTGTATTAAAATGCTTTAATGATAGGACCATAATTTTAGTTTTGCAAAACTGGTTGATAATTTCATTTCTGTACAGTTGAGCACACTGACACACATACTTGCTATTACTTGTCACAGGTCACATAGTTGGATAGTAACAATTAGGACTATAATATTCAGGGCTCTTTGTGGTTGTTTCTTATTCCTAACTGAAATTTTAAAGTATGATTATTTTAGTAATCTTTAAATATATTACATTAGGATTGGTTTTTGTTTTTTTAAAGTACTAGGGATTGAATCCAGGGGTGCTCAGTCACTGAGCTACATTATTATCTCTTGTTATTTTGATATAGGGTCTCACTAAGTTGCAAAGGGTGGCCTCAAACTTGGGATCCTCCTGCCTCACTCTGAGTGGCTAGGATTACAGGTGTGTGCTACCATGCCTGGTCAGAAATTTTGTTTTTTGGATATTCTGGCCATTGAGAATAGATAATTCAGTATAATTGTATCTCATTTTGTACAAATACCTGATAGCAATGTGGGTGGTACTTCTTTGCCAAAGAAACTTAATACTATATACAACTCAGTGTTCCATACAATTAAGGAAACTTTATTTTGTGTTGTACATGGGGAAAGTAAAAGTTTGGTGTTATTAGAATAGAATGTCTGAAGCCTGACATAATTTATTTCCTCATGTGTTAATCTCTTTTAATCATCACAACAATATTAATTTACACAATTCTCATAACTAGTAAATGGTATTAACTTTGGAATACCAAAGAGTAGCTTTACTTTTCAAAGAGTAAAGTCCTTGACTTCTGATTTGGAAAATAAGAATTATGAGTAGTAACTTGAATTGCTTATGGAAAGGACATCTGTATGTGTGTTACTGAGGTTAACCCAGGGCCTTGTGTGTATTAGGCAAGCAAGCACTCTTACCACTGAGCTTCTTTCCTAGCCCTTAAAAAAATATATATTTTGAGACAGTATCTCTATAAATTGTCCAACTTGGCCTTGAAAATACAGTCTTCCTGCCTCAACCTCCTGAGTAGCTGGGATTATAGGTGTGTGCAACCACACCTGACAGAACAGATGCCCATTTATTTATTTATTGGTACCTGGGATTGAACTCAAGGGCTTTCTTTCTTTCTTTATTGGTACCGGGGATTGAACACAGGGGCATTCAACCACTGAGCCTCATTGTTGCTGAGGCTGGCTTTGAACTTGTGATCCTCTTGTCTCAGCCTCCTGAGACACTGGGATTACAGGCATGTACCACCATGCCCAGCAACAGATGTCTTTTTAATCAGTAAATTTCCAAATTTCCTGGGACTATTAGATAACAGTTTTGTTAAAAGTCCCCAAATGAAAAGTAATTGTTATAATGGTAACATTAGTAATATTTTTCAATTTTGAATATATTGTAACTTAAAGACGGGAAAATTAAGATGTTGGCTTTGAATTTTTTTTGTACATTGCTAGATAATAAATATCAATAATAAGAACATTTTCAGGTGTCCTCATTAAAGAAGAATGTGGGGCAGTTCAGTGGATTTCCATTTGAAAAAGGGAGTATCCAATACAAAAAGAAAGAAGAAATGTTGAAAAAGTAAGTCATTTTTGTAAATAATCATGTTTTAATCACTGTACTTTCTTGTTTTAATATTTAATTATAATACTTATGTAAATATACTTAAAACATGAACACCCTTTTTTTGTACATTGATTGTTTAGGTGCTATGATTTAACTTATTTTTATAGTGCTAACTTGGGATGTTTGTTATTTTCTAGTGAATAGGAATTATCAAGATTATTGAAAAGCCTTAAATTTTTATTTCTAGAAGAAATGATACAGATTGATTATTCAGAGGGTCCAAAACTCTAAAGGAAATGTAGTGAAAAAAAATCTTTCCAGTTCCTATCCTTGTCAGCTACTTTGTTTCTTTTAAACCATTTAAACTATTTTGAAGATGATCACTTCATAGAAACAGTGTTCTTCGTAATGAAATAAGTTGATGTGCTTTCAGAGTTTTTGTTTTTTTAAATGCTTGTAGTTTAAATAATTAATAAAAATGATTACTGAGTTTTTCTTTGAAACATTGTCATAGTCTAAATGCTGAAGGAGAAGTATAAATTTAATTACTAGCCAGAAGAATTATCAAATTCTTTAATTTTATAGGTGAGAATCTTTTACATAATTTTCCAGTAACTTTACTTAATTTATTCTTTTATGCCTTTAAACGTAACTGGTAAATGGCAGTTTCAGTTTTCTAATGCTTATGTGGTTCTACACTAGCTAAAAGTATTAAGAGTAAGATTCAGAGAAACATTGGCTGTTTGTTTTTCAATGTTATCTGACAACCAGTTCTGTTGGCTGTTGCCATTGTATTGTGGGGAATGTTTATAAACTCCTATATAATCACCTTGGTTTTTCCCATTTTCTGTTTCAGATTTAGAAATGCCATGTTAAAGAGCATCTGTGAAGTTCTTGATTTGGAGAGATCTGGTGTAAATAGTGAACTAGTGAAGAGGATCTTGAATTTCTTAATGCATCCAAAGCCTTCTGGCAAAGTGAGGATCAGTTTTTACTATTTTAATGGTCTTTCTTTACTTTCTCTTTTCTATGAAACAGTATAATTGAACAGTAGTTTTGCACTTGGCATTCAGTAATAGTTGCTTTTATAAAGAATATACCTTCCATTGATAAAACTGCAACACTTCAAGATAGAACTAATATGGAAGGAATAGGAATATGTTCACTGGTATCAATTATGACGGGTGTAAGATTAAGAAAAGTATATGTTAGATAGGACAAAAAATACAAAACTAGGGTTGTGTGTCTAGAAGGTCCTTGAAGAACAGAAACAGGTTGAGTATGAGGTGTTGCGTCGGGCGGGGGATGGGAGTATAATCTTATACTAAGGATAGAAAGGATGAGATGAACTGGTTGTTTTCTAGATCCTGGAATAAAGTTATGAGAAAGTGACAAAAAAGCTGAAAAACAAGTTTTCTGGATTGAGTTTCTAGAATCATCAGAGCTCTAGGAGCTGGGTAGGGAAGTAAAACAACCATGTAATTTTCCCATACTTCTTAAATTTTAAGTTTACCTTAATTATTTAACAGTAATCAATGACATTGGTGACTCAAAATGTCTGTTGAAATGTTACTTATATGATCTTGCATTTTCAGCTTGTTTTAGGTCTGTTGCCCAGTGTTCCGTATTCCTTTCTCATTTCCATAGGAAAAGAAGTGTAAAGAGGTCTAGCAGGCCTGTAAAGGAGTTCACAGGAGGGGGGGTGTGGAGAGCATGAAGAATCAAAATAAGAATAGCAGCTCTGGAGCTTTGGTTTGCCTGCTCTTGATCCCACTCTCCATTAGCTGTACAGGGACAGATAAAGGATAGTCAAGCTGCTATTTCATTTAAGCAGCTACTAACCCAAGGGGTATGATTTTTTTTTGTTACATTAGTTTGGCTTACTTGAAGACAGATTTTATTTTCTAATTTTATACCTATACTTGTGTTTCTTAAGGATTTTGTATGGCAGGTTGATCCCAGAAGCAATTACTAACTAACTTTTATGTGGTGCTGAGGATTGAACCCAGTGCCTCCCATGTGCATGGCAAGTGCTCTACCACTGAGCCACAACCCCAGCCCATTCTTTGAAAATTAATGAGACAACTCAAGAGCTTTGGTTTATGAACAGTTTAATTTTCAAGTAATATTAACAAATATTTTGTGCAAAACATTTTCAAAAGAATTAGAAGAGTGGCATTATTTTGTTTTTATGTATCTAGTTAATATTGGCTTAAGAGAAAACAGCTCAATTCTCTTTTGCTTCTCATTCAGTCTCTTACAATTTACTGTTTTGCTTGAAATATACAAAAAAAATTCAGCCTCACACATGTGTGTAGTTAGGACAAGAAATATTTTTTAAAATCCTCTCAGATGATGGTGGGTATTTTCTTTTGATAACAACAACAAAAAAATCCACAGTTGGTAGTTTCTTAGAGATTAGTTGTAATTTTTAATGTAGATCTAGAGACATGTGAATGGGTCTTTTACCCATGTATGTTTTTGTAACATCATGCCTTTACCATTTGGGAAATAATACTTTCCTGGCTTACATAATGCAGATCTTCCAAATACTGACACATTTCATGAAGTATGTCAAAAGTCACATTTGTCAATATATACACTATTTTGTCAGAAAAATCTTTAGATACTAGGAAATTAACCACATTCACAGTAGTAGAAGTGTTTTTTCCAAATTGCAATTTCTGCTTAGTTTTGTAAAATTTATTGGCAGTAAATACTGTCAGTTGTTTTCCTTGAAGTAACAGTTTTACCTGCTTGCTTTTGAAAACATGTCTATCAAATACCTAAATTCTGAATGTCCGTGTTCGTCAGTTTTTTAAAAATTATGTTCCAGAGCTTGGGGTGTCATTGTGGGTAGATTGCTTGCCTAGCATGTGCAAGGCCCGGGATTTGATTCCCAGCATTGCCAAAAATAAAAATGATGTTCCATGAAAAAACCAGCTAGTTTAGCTCACATCTTAAAGAATTGCACAAATACTTTCCTGGAGAAAACCATTGAGTGTCAATGTGAAGCCAGAGTGTTTTCTATGGTGTATTTCCCATTTTGTCACAGATATTAAAAGGACAATGCAAGTAATATTATGGTTTCATCAAGGACATTCTTAGTAGAGCAATTTTTCCTTTTTTTTTTCTATTGATATGTAGTTGTGAGGGATACAGTGACTGCTAGTATATTTTGTTGCATTGATTGATATGAAGGTGTCTTGGTTAATACCCACCTACACTTTTGAATAATCGGTGAAAATTTCTTTTTTTTTTTTTAATATTTTTTGTAGTGGACACAACACCTTTATTTATTTATTTATTTATTTATTTATTTATATGTGGTGTTGAGGATTGAACCTAGAGCCTCACATGTGCTAGGCAAGCATTCTACCACTGAGCCATAACCCCAGCCCTCAGTGCAAATGTCAACACCATAAAAAGAACAAATAAGTAATATGTTAATATTATTGTGAAAATAGTTGACTGTAATAGAGTCTTAAAATGGTCTCAGGGAACCCCAGAATCCATGAGCCACATTTTGAGAGAATTTTGGTACTAGAGATTTAACTCAGGGGTGGCTTTACTAACACTGAGCTGAGTCCACAGTCCTTTTTGCTTAAGTACTTTTTAAAAAAATTTGAGAAGGATCTTACTAAGTTGTTTAAGGCTTTGCTAAGTTGCTAAGGCTGGACTTGAACTTGGGATCCTCTTGGCTCAGCCTCCTGAGTCCTTGGGATTACAGAGTACTACTGTGGTGCTGAGAATCGAACCCAGTGCCTCACGCATGCGAGGCAAGCGCTCTACCACTTGAGCCACATCCCCAGCCCCTCTTTCACTTTTCTTTATAGATTTATCCAGCACCCATTCTTTTCCCATTGCTATTAATTCTGTGTAGAGAATACTACCTGAATCTAGTTCCTGAGCTGAGATAAAGGATGTCACATTATTCTAATACATTTGAGACTTGGCATTCATATAGTGAACAGTAGAAGTTTGGACAATAAGTGTCACTTTTTCTCTAAATAGTGCTATCAAAGAATTAATGTAAATGGGAATTGGGTCTTGTTGGTAGTAGTTCACATAACAAGGATCAAGGATACCTGTATACGTTAAAGGCTTTTTTTTTTTTTTTTTTGGAGTACTAGGGATTAAACCTGGGGCTTTGTACATACATACTCTGGCTCTGAGCTACAGTCTCAGTCCTTTTTGAGATAGTTTCCCTGAGATGCCCTGGCTGGCCTCCAATTTGGGATCCTCTTGCCTCAGCTTCCCAGGTAGCTGGGATTTCAGGTGTGTGCCACCACGTTCAACCTCAAGGAATGTTTTTTGTTAGTTTGTTTTTTGCTTTTTTAATAGAGAATCATCTCTGAGAAATGTTTTTGATTGAGCCACTTTCTGGAGTGATCTAAGTTGTGTTTCCCCGTCTGCCTTTAGAATCACCATTGTTTGGGCAAGCTAGAGGCTGTCCTGTTAATTGTTTTATTTGTAGATAACTTGAGAACACTATCTTCTAGTAGATACTTTTTCTTAATTTTTGTATAGGTGCCTGTGACTCCTGAGAAATTGGATATTCCTGGGAAAGACCTGTGGTTCTGTTAGTTTTATGAAAAATATGTGAAGTTGCCACAAACATTTATATAATTTAAAATATGTTGAATATCCCTTATCTGAAATGCTGAGACGAGAAGTGATTGATTTTGGATTTCCACCCCCCAATTTTGGAAGATTTTCATAATGAGATGCCTTGGGAATGGGAATCAAGTCTAAATACAAAATTCATTTAGGTTTCATATGCACTTTATATGTACACCACCCCCCTGAAGGTAATTTTGTATACTATTTTCATGTGCCTGCTTTTGTTTCTTACTTTTTTTTTTTTTTTTGTACTGGGGATTGTACTCTGTAGCACTTTACCACTGAGCTGCATACCCAGTTGTTTTTATTTTGAGGCAGAGTCTCTAAGTTGCTAAGGCTGTCCTCAAATTTGTGATCATCTTGCCTTAGCCTTCTGAGTTGCAGTACAGGCATGTACCACTATGCCCAGCTCAAGTGTGTGCCTGCATTTTGACTGTGCCATGTATCACATGAGTCCACATGTGGATTTTTCCATTTGTGGTAAATGTCAGCTCTAGATTTTGAAGAATAGGGATGCTCAACCCATACTTTGCATTATTGTATTTTACCCTAGTGTTTTTGCTTATTGCCGAATATAATGTAACACGGGCAAAAAATAAAAGAATATAAAAGATAATTGTATGGTTTAATTGAATAATAGAGTGATTGTAGTGCACCTATTTTGTGGTTCTTAATTAGTTTTGTAATTAACATGCCCAGTGTTTATTGCATATTCAGAAGCATCAGCCAAAATATGATTCTGGCATTATTGAAAATAGAGCCTAAAGGCAATATGATAGTTCATTCAAAAATTCAAGATGTATAATTGATGATAAGGTTTTATGTTCTTTTTTAATAGTGCCTCCCATTCCTTTTGATTCATGAACCCTCTAAAAGCAAGGACTCCTAGCAGCAACAATTTTAATGCTTATAAAAATGAAATAAAACGTCTTAAAACAATTAGGATAAAGTATAAACAACTGTCTGCATGCACTGCATTTCTGGTTCCACGTCATAACCTAGAATACATCTCTCTCAACTTTTGGGAAGTCTTTTTAGGTGTTTAGAATATGAATAGAGTATTGGTAATACAGTTTTAGGTTGACCTGAGTCAATTAAAAAAAAAAAGCCACAAAGCTTGTATTTTTTGAGAGATGAAATTGAGAGGTATTTATCAGGAATAGTTGGTTGACTTGGAAATCTAATTCCTTATTGGTGTTATTATTATGAATTTTTTATACAGCCATTGCCAAAATCTAAAAAAACTTCTAGCAAAGGCAGTAAAAAAGAACGGAATAGTTCTGGAATGGCAAGGAAGGCAAAGCGAACCAAATGTCCTGAAATTCTGTCAGATGAATCTAGTAGTGATGAAGATGAAAAGAAAAACAAGGAAGAGTCTTCTGATGAAGAAGATAAAGAAAGTGAAGAGGAGGTAAAGTGTTCTGTTTTTTAAATTAAGTATAAACCCATTTCTTTCCCTTATACAGCATCTAGTTTTATTGCCAACCCAGAGTATAAAAGTTGGAATATAATAGTATGAATGTCCTGAATTTGAAATGTTTACTTGAGTCTAGAGTAGGTAAATGGCCAGAGAAGATAGAAGGATGCTTATCCTGAAAAGGAGCACATTGGAGCAAATTCTCCGAGATTTTGTTTCATGGTATATCATTAACTTGAGCCAATTAGTACAAAAAGTAAGGTGTTTAAGGGTCATCATTTGTGTGTGTGTGTTGGGCGTTATTTAATGAGGATGACATTGTTTGAAGTTTGGTGAGTAAGTTTTATAGGACTTAGAGATGTCTGTCATTTTTTACTTGGGAGTATTTGTAAAACATTGAGAATACTTATCTTCCAACCTGAGGCTTCAGGAAGGAGGTAAACTGATGAAGTTACAAGATTAAACTTTTGATATACATCCTCAGTCAGGTAGGTAAGGGAGAACCGGTACAGAAGATGTATCTGTACATTCCTGTTGTTAATGATGTTCAGGTAGAGAGTATTTAATTTTGTTTTGGTGTTTTCCTTTAGCAGTCAGAACTTGCTTTATAAATTGTGTGTAAATTCCCCTGTCTTAGGGACTTAGTTAATGCTGGGTTGATATTTTGGGCTAGATAATTCTTTTTGTGGTGCACTTCTAGTCCCTAGTTGTGATAACTGGAAATATCTTCAGACATTGCCAGGTGTTCCCTGGGGAGAGGAGATTGAGCACTACAGAATTAGAGGGATTAAAAAGTAGTAAACTATTTTTTTGTGTGTGTTTAGTGTTTATTAGTCTTGAGGTATTTAAAATTCATCCTTGGTTTAATGTCAAATGAAGTATGAACTGCTTTATAATTTTAAAAGATAGTTGGTTACATCCGTCTAGCAGGTGCTTCACAAATATCTTAAGGGTTTTTGTTTTGTTTTGACAAAAAGGAAGATGAATAATCTGAGCTTTAACATTTCTATGGATTGGACATCTGAGAGGAAAACATGAGGCAGGTTTTCTTGTTCCTTTATTGTTTTTTTTTTTTTTTTTTTTTTTTTAAAGAGAGAGTGAGAGAGGAGGGGGAGAGAGAGAGAGAGAATTTCTTAATATTTATTTTTAGTTCTCGGCGGACACAACATCTTTGTTGGTATGTGGTGCTGAGGATCGTGCTGAGGATCGAACCTGGGCCGCACGCATGCCAGGCGAGCGCGCTACCGCTTGAGCCACATCTCCAGCCCCTGGTTTTTGTTTTGATACTGGGGATTGAACCCAAGGGTGCTTAACAACTGAGCCATATCTTGGTCCTTACCCCCTGCAAAGACAAGGTCTTCTAAGTTGCTGTGGCTAACCTTGGACTTGGGATCCTCCTGCCTCAGCCTCCTAAGTTGTTGCTATGATAGGTGTATGCCACTGCATCTGGCTAATTGTGACTTTTAAATTTTATTCTGCATTCAGATTTCTGGTCATCTACCATGTTCTGTTTACTGTATCCTAAGCTGTTGTATTTTTTAATAAATATTTATTTTTAATTGGAGTTGGATATAATACTTTTATTTATTTATTTTTAGTTGTTGACAGGCCTTTATTTATTTATATGCACTGCTAAGAATCTAACCCAGTGCCTCACAAGCCAGGCAAGTGCACTACCACTGAGCTACAGCCCCAGCCCCTATTTTATCTATTTTTATGTGGTGCTGAGGATAGAATTCAGTGCCTCACATATGGTAGGCAAGTGCTGTACCACTGAGCCACAACCCCAGTGCCCCTAAACTCTTGTCATAGAATATTAACATTTCGTTTTTTTCATAGAGACAAACCATGGGCCTTAGAAACTGGGTTTATTTGTTTTCCAGATTGTTCTAAGTAGTTGAACTCTATGTTTGTAATTATATTTATTCTTGGATAATGATCACATGTGGAAATGTCCCACTACAAATCAAAGCTTTACGGTGACATAAACTAAGATCTGTTGCTAGAAACCCTGGTCAAATGGTGGATATCCACAAGGATGGGAGATAATGCTTTTATAAACATAAGCTGTATAAGAACCACAAGATAAAATCTATATTACATTTTATTAGAGGGACTTTTCCTGCTTGGATTGGTCCTGACAGATTTCATAAGATACGATTCCAATAAAGTCTAGATTAAGAACACTCCTCAACCCCCTGCCAAACTTTGCTCCAACAAGGCTGGGTAAAAATTTAGGACTGGTCTCAAAAACTATTGCTGATTTGAGTTTACGTGAAAGGGTCTGATGGCCTTTGAAAGTAAGTTCTAGTGGGAGGAATGATATTTCTTTGGCCACTTTGTTTTCTTTATTTCAGGACGTCTTGGTTAAGTGGAAACTGTGTTAGGTACTTCATAAATGAAAGTGTTTTGGGTCATTACTGCAAAAGGACCTCTTTTATAAAAGGCCATTAAGAAAAAAGTTGCAGGTTAATCAGGAAAGTTATGGATTGCCTATGTTTTCTTTTTTGTACCAAGGATTGAACCCAGAGGGGCTTAACCGCTGGACCACATTCCCAGCTTTTTTGTATTTTATTTTGAAACACAGTCTTGCTAAGTTGCATAGAGCCTCCCTAAGTGATCCCACTCCCTCACCCCTCCCTGTAAATCACTGAGGCTGGCTTTGAGCTTCAATCCTCCCACCTAAGCCTCCTAAATTGTTGGGATGATAGGCATGCGCTACTGCGCCAATTTTGCCTATACATTTTTTAAAATAGAAAATTACTAAATTAATAGTTTTGATTATTTCCTGAAATGTTTCTTTTCATTAGGATTAACTTCATTTAAATTAGCCAAGAAGCTAATGTAAAATTTCTATTTTAATATCTTAGAATAAACTGTGAACTTAGGTAGATTAATTTTATCTTAACCAGTTTCCTCTGTAAATTTGGTAATTTGACTACAATCAAAATTTAATCTGTATGATAACATTAAAAATTACTAAATTAATAGTTTTGATTATTTCCTGAAATGTTTCTTTTCATTAGGATTAATTTCATTTAAATTAGCCAAGAAGCTAATGTAAAATTTCTATTTTAATATCTTAGAATAAACTGTGAACTTAGGTAGATTAATTTTATCTTAACCAGTTTCCTCTGTAAATTTGGTAATTTGACTACAATCAAAATTTAATCTGTATGATAACATTAGTAGTTTTACATAGAAGTCCAATTCATATTATAGTTCTCCAGCAGATTATGTGAGGTTGAATATTATTCACTTGCTGATTTTCATACTTATCTGTGCAGGAGAATTAGGAAGCCACTGAAATCTAAACAGCTAACAATTGACAGCTTATAAAGTCTTCTTTTAAAAAAAACAGATGTAAGCTTTAGCATATGGAATGATACTTGCTAAAGCGTTTGTTTGAAGTTTTCTGTTCTGTACCTGTTTCTATGATATACAGTGAGTAATTCACAAAAGTTTTATAATCCTCATCAAGAGGATGCTTATTAAGAGTAGCTTTGGTAATTAATGCCTTTATAAAAGAACTTCACTGGATTTCCCTAATAGTTTGGCTCTTGACATTGACTTTTTTTTTTTTTTTTTGATGAGTGTCATATATTTATTATAAACCTCTTTCATCATGGTTTCTACTTTGGTTTTGGGTGCAGTTATTTTTTTTTAATTTATTCTAGTTATACATGACAGTATAATGCATTTTGACACATTGTACATAAATGGAGCCCAATTTCTCATTGCTCTGGCTGTACATGGTGCTGAGTCACAGTAGTGTAATCATTTATGTATTCAGGGTAATAATGTCTGTCTTATTCTACTGTCCTTCCCATCCCTACCGCTCACCCCCTCCCCTCACTGTCTTCTACACAATCCAGAGTTCCTTCATTCTTCCCTACTTACCTCCCCCCCACTATGGATCAGCACATCCACTTATCAGAAAATGTTCAGCCTTTGGGTTTTTGGAATTAGCTTATTTTACTTTGCATAATATTCTCTATTTCCATCCATTTACGGGCAAATGCTGAGTAAGATTCCATTGTATATATACATTTTCTTTATCCATTCATCTGTTGAAGGTTGGTTCCATAGTTTAGCTTTTGTGAATTGAGCTTCTATAAACATTGATGTAGCTGCATCACTGTAGTATGCTGATTTTAAGTCCATTGAGTATAAATCAAGGAGTGGGATTGCTGGGTCAAAGGGTGGTTCCATTTCAAGTTTTCTGAGAAATCTCCATACTGCTCTCCATAGTAGTAGCACAATTTGCAGTCCCACCAACAATGTATGAATGAACATTTTCCCCCACATCCTTCTTATTATTACTTGTACTCTTGATAATTGCCATTCTGACTAGAGTGGGAAGAAATCTTAGTTTTGATTTGCATTTCTCTAATTGCTAGAGATGGTGAGAATTTTTTCATGTTTCTTGATTGATTATATTTCTTCTGTGAAGTGTGTGTTCAGTTCTGTCGCTCACTTATTGATCGGTTTATTTGTGTTTTTTGGTGTTCCGTTTTTTTAGTTCTTTATATGTCCTTGAGACTATCTGAGGTGTGTGTGGTATAAAGACTTTTTCCCATTCTGTAGACTCTCTCTTCACATTGTTGATTGTTTTCTTTGCTGAGAAGCAGCTTTTTAGTTTGACTCCATTTCATTTATTGATTCTTAATTTTACTTCTTGTGCTTTAGGAGTCTTGTTAAGGAAGTCAGGTCCTAAGTTAGCATGTTGTGAAGATTTGGGCCTAGTTTTTCCTTTATTAAGTGCAGGGTCTCTATTCTAGTCCTAAGTCTTTGCTCCACTTTGATTTTTGGGCAGGGTGAGAGATAGGGGTTCAATTTCACTTTGTTACGTATGAATTTCTAATTTTCCCAGCACCAGTTGTTGAATAGGCTGTCATTTCCCCAGTGTATGTTTTCAGTGCCTTTGAAATAACTATTTATGTGGGTTTGTCCCTGTGTCTTCTGTTTTGTATCATTGGTCTGCATTTCTGTTT